CCTGCCTCTGTGACAGGGCATTCCCTTTTGTTCTCTCTCTCCTATTGGGTGTTGTGGTTTGCAAAAGAGGCAATGGGTGACAATCATGTTTGGTCTATAGTCTACTTTCATCATGCTTCTTCCATCCTGGGAGGATCCTCCCAACACCCTTTATTTGGTGCTCCCTTCTCTATCTGAGCTAAGCAGCTTGATCAGGAGCCAGAGAGGCTGTTTGTGGGTGGTGACTCGGGGTCTTGTTGGGGTGGGGAGGAAAGGGCTGGCTCCACCCCCATCCTGTGAGGCCCCGTGTGTCTCGTTATTGTGGGCTCAAACCTGACTGTGCAATGGCCACTTGAGAATGGCAGCCACCAAACCGCCAAGGGGCAGCAGGCGGAGGGACAACACCCTTTCCCCCCTGGGGTGGTCCGGCGCCAATCACCCATTGTGGGGACTGAACTCATCTCTGCCAAAAGCTGCTGGGTTCCAAGATTTGTCTCTGACTCTCTGGGATCATGGCCATTAAGCAGTTCGATCAGGAACCAGAGAGGCCTTGCCTCCAATTATATAGCTGAGCCGGAGTTGGTTTGTGGGTGTGTCTCCCACAAACCAACTTTTGGCTGTTTACTTTCTTGGTAAACTTTACCCCAAGTTTTTGGGGTCTGGCCAAAGGCACAGCAGCAATTATGGGGTATCTGGAAGTCTGAAGGTGCCATCAGGCTGCTGATGCATTCACCTCACAGGTACAGATTGACCTGCTGGAGGCACCATACCCCCGAACAAACTGCTTTTTAATGAGCATCCCACACTGAACCTAAGCCTTGCCAAGCTTTGTCTTTGCTTACACCTGGCAGTGTTTGGGGGCTATGCCCGCTGAGCACTTTGGCTGGCTCCTGATGGTACTCAGGACATGGGGTGCTGGGGATTGAACTTGGGTCTCCTACAGACACCCCAACCTGCTGAGCTGTCCTTTGACCTAGGCTTTGTTTTTCTTCCTCACAATGACTGCTACTGGAACTGTCTCCTTTCCATGACCTCTTACATCCCTGTCTTTTTGAGGACAAGGATGTTTGTTTTGTTCAAATCAAAACAGAGATTTGGCCATGAGTGAATGAATCGTGAGTCACTGATGCAGAGCAAGAAGCCAAGAGACTGTGTAATCACTGCCTAGGGCTGTTAAAGCAACAACAACAAAGTGAGGCCAGGGCGGTAGTCCAGCAGCCAAGGTACCTGACTTGTATGCATCCCACCCAGGTTGGATCCCGCATCCCATAAGTTCCCCCCAGCACTACCAGGAAATCAGGAGTTTTCGAGTGCCGAGCCAGGAGTAACCCCTGAGCACTGCCAGGTACGGTCCCAAAACAAAACAAAAATAACCACAAACCTAAGGGCTTAAAACAACCACACATTGTGGGCTGAAGAGATAGTACAGGCAACAGGTTGATAATTGCCTTGCATGCAACCGAACCCTGTCTGATCCCGGACTCCATATCTATTCCACTGAGCGCCGTCAGGGGTCACTCCTGAGCACAAAGTCAGGAGTAGCCCATCAGTACCACAACATGTGGCCTCCAGAAAAAATAAAACCGGGGGCTGGAGAGATAGCACAGAGGGTAAGGCGTTTGCCTTGCACGCGGCCAACCTGGGTTCGATTCCCAGCATCCCATATGGTCCCCGAGCACCGCCAGGAGTAATCCCTGAGTGCATGAGCCAGGAGCAGGAGTAACCCCCGTGCATCACTGGGTGTGACCCAAAGAGCAAAAAAAAAAAAAAAAAGAAAGAAAAAAGAAAGAAAAGAGATAATACACTAGGTACAATGTATGTCTGCACAGCACGTAGCTGAACTGGGTTTGATACCTGGCACTTCATATGGTCCCCTGAGCCTACCAGGAGAGTCATCTCTGCCCGTAGATCCAGGAATGAGTCCTGCGCACTGCCAGGTGTGACTCAGAGTTCAAACCCAAAAATAGTCTTGTTGTTTTGGGGCCACACCTAGCAGTGCTCAGGGCTTATTCCTGGCTCTGCACTCAGGAATCAATCCTGACGGGCTTGGGGACCACGTGATATGCCGGGGATTGAACCCCGGTCACCCACGTTCAGGGTAAAAACATCCTCCCCACTGTACTATTGCTCCATCCCCCCCGAGACAGGTTCATTCTCTTACTGGAGATTAGGCTTCCTAAATGCAAGATGTCAGCAAGGCAGAATACGTTTGGTTGCCCTTTTCAGCAATGAAATGGGCCAGATACCAAGACCGACCCCCTGCACTCTCTCTCCAGCTCTTAACTCTTAAGACTGTTGATGGGTGAGTTCCACATACTCACTCGTTGCTCTGAATTGGGCAGAGAATGACGCCAAGAGTCAGCAGCCAGAAGATGCGCTATTTCTAGGCTGATACAAATGGGTTCATTCTAGGGACTGGCCTGAGGGAGAAGCTCAGAGACTCTTTTATATAGAAGAGAAGTTGATCCCCCATCCCTGGGCAGTGCTTTCATTTTTCATTGGGAGGGGCCATACCTGGCTGTGCTCAGGGTCTACTCCCAGCTCTGGGTTCAGGGATCACTCCTGGTGGGCCTTGGGGGGCCAAAGAGGATCGAATCTGGTTATTGGTGAACAAGGGAAGTGCCTTCTCCGCTGTGCTATCACTCCGGCCCCTGGGTTTCCCTTTTTAAGACTTTGCTCTGGGGGCCAGAGAGATAGTAAAGAAAATAAGGCACTTGACTTACAGATGACTGACCGGCATTTGAGCATCTGGTACCACTTATGTCTCCCCAAGCACCCACTGGGATCATTCACTGAGCACAGAATCAAGCAGCACTCCTGAGCATCTTGGGGTGTGGCCCCCAAACAAAACAAGAACACAGCCCTAGGGGCCAGAGACAGAACACAAGGGTTTAAGGGTTTGGCTTGCACACACCAAGCCCACTTAGAACCCTGGAACCACCCAGCTCTGCCCCCAACAAAAGTCAGTCAGGTGCAGCCCCGGGAGGTCCCCTGAGCCTCCCCGGTGGGACTCTGGAAGTCCCAGCTGAAGTTCTCGGTTGCAGCGTGTGGGACCCATTAAATCAAGATTGTGGAGGGGCTGGAGCGATAGTACAGCAGGTAGGGCATTTGCCTTGCACTCGGCTGACCCGGGTTCGATTCCCAGCATCCCATATGGTCCCCTGAGCACCGCCAGGAGTAACTCCTGAGTGCATGAGTCAGGAGTGACCCCTGTGCATCGCTGGGTGTGACCCAAAAAGAAAGAAAAAAAGAATCAAGATTGGGGCTGGAGCAATAGCACAGCGGGTAGGGCGTGTTTGCCTTGCATGCGACCGACCCAAGTTTGATACCCAGCATCCCATATGGTCCCCTGAGCACCGCCAGGGGGGTAACTCCTGAGTGTAGAGCCAGGAGTAACCCCGGTGCATTGCCGGATGTGACTCAAAAAGAAAAAAAAAAATCAAGATTGTGGGCTAGACAATACAGTGGGTAGGGCATTTGCTGCCAACCCAGGTTTGATTCCCAGGGAATCAAGCGTAGTTAGGAGTAAGTCCTAAGCACCATCAGGTATGGTCCCAAGCCCCAAAGTTTTAAATTTTATCTTTTTATTTATTTGGTCACACCTAGCAGTGCTCAGGGCTTATTCCTGATTCTGTGCTCAGAGATTCTGGCACGGTTCAGGAGAACCTGAAGTGCAGGGGACTGAACCCGGGTCTGGCTGGACTATCTCCCCGGACCCAGTGCCCGGACTCTTTGCATAAATAAGTAGACACAGTTCTGCCCAGGGCTGTTTCCCAGCCAGCCGCCTCCAGCCGTCCCCCCTCCTTCACATCCTGTTGTCGTTCCTCGGAACAGGGACAGGTTTGCCGGCCTAGACAGCGCTGGGATGAGGTCAAAGGCTGCCGAGGACAGCTGGACGGTTACATCACAGACCGCTGGACACCTTTCAAAGCTACTGCACGCACAGTCGGGAGAGCTCGGGGGGCACCACCACGGGCCCCGGAAGTCCCGTCCACACACCCCTTCCTCTCCGGGGAGCTGGCACCCTGCAGATGGGGAGGGGGGCGTAGTCGCTGCGCCCCCCGGTGCTCCTAACCAGTTGTCCAATCAAGGGTGTGTGGGGGCCAGAACTCTGTCGGGTCGAAGCTCAGGCCGGCATCGGAGGGTGGCCAGTGAGAGAAGAGCCTGGCCAGAGTCAGAGTTCCGCGGAGGGTGGGCTCAGAGGGGGCGGGGACTGAGCCGGGGGGGGGGGCGGGGTTTGCCAGGATGGGTGCCCAAGGGGGCAGCGTTACGGCTTGATCTGTCTCCAACCTAACGGCTTCGTGCCCCTCCGCGCAGGTCTCCAATCTCCCGCTCCCTCTCTGCACCTCCGAGCCCGACCTATTCTCAGTCCCTCTCAGGCTGGGGAAACTGAGGCACCGCTCCATCCAGGACCTCGAAGCTTGCTCGCGCCGCCACCCCCTTCTCGCGAGCAGGGAAACTGAGGCTGGAACTCTCGGGGGGGGAGGGGGATCCCGGCCAGTGTCCCGGCCGCTCCGACGCCTGGGCGCGCCCCGCCCCCCTAGCGCACCAATTCCCCGCCCCCCACCCTGGGGCCCCACCCGCACGGCCGACGTCACAAAAAAGACCCCGCAGCCGGCGGGTCGGGAGCGGGCGGCGCAGCCCAGCCCTGCCCGCCTCCCCGCGCACAGGCGTCCGGGGGGTGCTCGTCCGAGCGGGGGGCGGCCTCGGCCTCCTCCAGGGGGGAGGGAAGCGCCAAGGCGCCTGCGCGCTCGCCCCCTCGCTCCCGGGGTCGCGCTCGGCGGGCGGGGGAGGGGAAACTGCACGTCCCGGCGTGCCCCGCGGGCGGGCGCGCAGGCGCAGTGCGGGCGCGGCGGCGGCGCGCAGGCGCCGTGCGGGCCCCGGTGGCGGCGCGCAGGCGCGGTCGGGGCGCCGGCGCCGGCGCGCAGGCGCAGTGAGGGGCGGGGCGCGGGCCGGGCCGAGCCGAGTGCGGGGCGGGCGGCGGCGCCAGAGCGAGTGGAGCGCTCGGAGTCCCCGGGCGGCGGCGGCGGCGGTGGCGGCGGCGTCGGCGGCGGCGGTGGCGGCGGCGGCGGCGGCGGCGGCAGCGTAGAGGACGAAGGCGGTGGCCCCGGCCCCAGCCCCGGCCCCAGCGGCGCCCTCCCGGGCCCGGCCCCGCGGCCCGGCCCGTCCCGCGCCCCCGCGGCGCTCCCGGCCCCGGGTCCCGCCGCCGCCGCCGCCGCCGCCGCCATGGCCCGGCCGCTGGTGCCCAGCTCGCAGAAGGCGCTTCTGCTGGAGCTCAAGGGTCTGCAGGAGGAGCCGGTGGAGGGCTTCCGGGTGACCCTGGTGGACGAGGGTGACCTGTACAACTGGGAGGTGGCCATCTTCGGGCCCCCCAACACCTACTACGAGGGCGGCTACTTCAAGGTGAGCGCGGGGCCGGGGGCGCGCGGGGCTCGGCTCGAGGGGTCCCCTGGACCCAGCAGCCCCAGCTCGGGCCGGCCAGCGCCGCCGGCCGTTGTCCCCCGCATCCTTGGCAGCCCGGGGGCCGCCCCGCACCCCCGGGTGTGTGTCCGGCTGGCCGGGGCTGCGACCCTGCCGCGTCTGGGGGCGACCCCAGCGCCCCGCCGGCGTCCCCCCGCGGACAAAGCCCCGCGGCCGGCGGCTATTGTCAGGGCGGCGGCGGCGGGGGTCCAACAAAGGCCCGCGTGGGGCCTCGGCTTTGGACCGGCGCTTAGCAACCGGCCAGGCCCTCCGAATTGCCTTGGGCTTCTTCGGGGACCCCGCGCTCTCCGTGCCCCCCCTCTGGGCTGCCCCGCACCGAGGGGACCGGTCGAGTCTGTCCCCGACCCCAGGGGAGTCGCGCCCCGTTCCCCGCGGCGAGCCTGGCTGGCTTCCTTGGGAGGTTCTGCCGAGCAGGTGCCTTTCTGGGGGTGCAACTCGGGGTTCCCAGGGTCCTAGGACTGACTCCGCCTCCTGGATCTTATCCTGGGGCCAGGCCCCCCCCCACACACACACGCACCCCGCTATCCAGCCCACCAAGAGCTGCGCAGCCTGGCCGGGTTCAGACTTGGCCGAGGGATCCCCAGGTGGTGGGCTCCGCTGGGGTCGTTCTGGAGTTGAGGCCCTCCGTTTTCCCGGGAAGAGGGGGGCAGTGGGAGGTGGGGGTGAGGGGCTGGAAACTGCCCCCCAGCCTTCCCGAACCTCCCCCCCCCCAAGAACAAGAATGGAGCCAGAGGGGCTGGAGCGATAGCACAGCGGGTAGGGCGTTTGCCTTGCACGCAGCCGACCCAGGTTCGATTCCCAGCATCCCATATGGTCCCCCGAGCACCGCCAGGGGTAATTCCTGAGTGCAGAGCCAGGAGTAACCCCTGAGCATCGCCAGGTGTGACCCAAAGAGCAAAAAAAACAGAATGGAGCCAGATTCTTGAAGCAGCTCAGCAAACAGCCACCCCCCCCCCCCCACGCACACACACACACACACCCCTGGCTCGTTGGAGCGTTTGGGGGAGCCCTGAAAGACGCCCCACTTTGCTGCCAGACTTCGGAGGAGGGACGTGGGCCGCAAGACGGGCGCCCAGCTGGCGGCGGGGGCTGGTGGCCAGCTTTCTAACGGGCGGATGTGGGGTCACTGCCAGGCTTGCATCGTGTCGGCCTGGGAGGCTGGAGCAGGAGGCAGGGGGCCCGGGGCCTGCTGAGGCCAGGCTGGCGCGAGTGTGGGATTGGCCTCTGGGGTGCTTGTCGCTCTCCGCCCCATCCCGCCCCACCCCCGGAGGCCCCGACCTTCTGGTGCCTGGGGGGGGGGGGCTCCTGTCGCTGGTCGACCTGCTGAGCACGGGGGCGCCCCGTTCCTGGCCCCGCTGATTCATCGCCTCCCTCGGTGGCTGCTGGGAGCCGCATCTGTTCTCCGCTCCCCACGCGGGACCTGGGGCTTCTCCGCGCAGGGCCCTGAGACCCTGGCGGGGTGGGGGTGGGGGGCCTGGCAGCCGACAGGGGGGGGCTCCGTGCCGGTGTGTGCACACGGGGGGGGGAGCCCCGGCCCAGCCGAGCCCCCTGACATCTGCCCTCACCCCCCAGGCACGCCTCAAGTTCCCCATCGACTACCCGTACTCCCCTCCGGCCTTTCGGTTCCTGACCAAGATGTGGCACCCCAACATCTACGAGGTGTGACGGCGCCCCCCTGGGTAGGGATGGGGGGGTGTGCCGGAGGCGGAGGCCGGGTGATGCTGACCTTGCCCTCCTGTGCCCACAGACGGGGGATGTGTGCATCTCCATCCTTCATCCCCCAGTCGATGACCCCCAGAGCGGGGAGCTGCCCTCGGAGCGGTGGAATCCCACCCAGAACGTCAGGTACGGCGAGGGGGGCCCTGGGTGGGGGCTCCCCCCTCCCCGTGGCTCTCCCGCTGTCGTCCCCGATAGATAAGCCAGCACCCCGCCTCCAGACCGCGGAGGGGCTGGGCCTGGGCAGAGCCCAGGACCGGGCGGCGGTGCCATGGCCTGTGCGCTCCCGCAGGACCATCCTCCTCAGCGTCATCTCCCTCCTCAACGAGCCCAACACCTTCTCTCCCGCCAATGTGGATGCCTCGGTCATGTACCGGAAGTGGAAGGAGAGCAAGGGCAAGGACCGGGAGTACACCGACATCATCCGGTGAGGGCCCAGGGCTGCTTCCCGCTCCGTGCGCGGGCCTCCGGCGCCCCCTGAGCAGAGAGTTCCTGTGTGGGCGTGCCTTTGCCCGGCATGGTGGGGGCCTCAACGCCCCGTGCCAGCTCCCCCCCCCACCCCGGCCCCTCCTGGCCTTTCTCGGCACCTGGAGTGACTCCCCGACAGTGTCTGCTCAGCCTGTCACTCTGCCTCCAGGAGCCAGCGGGTGTTGGGGGAGGAAGCACTCCCAGGGCAGAGTGCTCAGGCCTGGCAGGTTCCCACGTGGGTCCCTGAGCACCAGTGGGAGTGGGCCCCCCCACCCCAGCTTTGCTGCTCCAGCCTCCAAAGCTGCCGGGCACCGGGGGGTCCCTGTCCATCACCAGCAGCGGGGCAGCACCTGCTGTTCGCACGGCGCTTCCTCTTGTGGCCTTTGCACGTGGCCCTTACATCCCCCGGAGGATTCTGGAAAGCACTCGTGGGGGTCACGGCTTCGCTTCCCAGCCTGCGGCCACCCACCAGGAACAAACGCAGCCTGCACCCTTGGCGGTGGGGGAGGTGGGCCTTGTCCCCGGTGCAGGGCTGCGTGTGTCCCGGCGGGGCCCCACGATGCCCACACGCCCGGGCCGCTGCCGGGAGCTGGTGCCTCTGCCTCCCGTGGGCCGGCCGGGCTGCTGCTGCACCGGCACTCGCAGCAGAGTCCTCGAAGCCTGCGGGTGGCACGCTCCAAACGGGGCCCTCTCATGCACGCTCCCCACGCTGCGGGCCCGCCGTGGGGGTGTATGGCCCCGTCTTCCCGAGCGGCCCTGCCCACAAGACTAGCTGCCCCAGTTCTTCCCGGCCGCCTCCCACGTGGCACAGACAAGAAGCGGCTATTTTCGTCCCTGGGCTCCCTGGGGCCGCCGTGTATCCGCGTGAGGCTGCGGCGCTGTTTTTCCGGGGCCGGTGCTAGGTGCTGGGTCCCAGCCTGGACACCTGGGGCCTTCGGTGTGGGGGGCTGCCTCCTGCCCCCGTGACCTGGGGTCGCCGTGTCCAGGCCCTCCACGGGGGGCCTCCACACTGCTGACCCCTCGGGCCACTGCCGTGCAGGGGCGGCCCTGGCAAGGCAGACTGTCCTGCGGATCGAGGGGCTCGCGGGTCGGCGAGGGGACACTGATCCCCTGCGTGTGTCCCCAGGAAACAGGTCCTGGGGACCAAGGTGGACGCGGAGAGGGACGGCGTGAAGGTGCCCACCACGCTGGCCGAGTACTGCGTGCAGACCAAGGCCCCGGCGCCCGACGAGGTGTCCGACCTGTTCTACGACGACTATTACGAGGACGGCGAGGCCGAGGCCGACAGCTGCTTCGGGGACGACGAGGACGACTCGGGCGCCGAGGAGTCCTGACAGCCCCGGAGTCCCGACGGCGCCGCCCCGAATAAACTGACGGATCTTACCTCGCCAGGCCCGGCTGTGTGGGCTCGGGGCCCCTGACGCCCAGACTACCTCACGGAGGTGCGTGTGCCCCCCCCCCTTGTCCCTCGGTCTGGCCTCCCCGCACACCCCCACACCCCGGGGCTGGGCCCTCCCGAGGGCCCGGGCGTGGCACGGAGCGGCGGCCTCGCTGGCTGGGCCCCGGCAGGCCCAGAGCCGGATGGCGGCACCGGTGCGCGGGGCTCAAACTCGACCGCCTCTTCTCCGCTTCAGTTTGTTTGGAATCTGAATAAAAGGACTTTGCGAGAAGCAGAAGCTGAACCTCTCCTTGACCCAGCCCGGGGGAGTGCGGGGCTTCTCGGTCCCTCGGGGGCCGGCAGAGCCACGTGCCCCCAGGGTCAGGGCCCGGCCCGTCTCCGAGCCTGCGGCCGCTCTCAAAAACTTGGGCGGCAGATCCGAGCCATCCCTTGGAATGGCCCCAAACCAGAAGGGCCGACGGTCGTCATCGTCCGCCCCATCCCGGAGAGCATCCGACTTCGTGGAGTCCGGGGTCCCCTGGAATCAGTAGCACCTGCCTTGCAAGCAGGTGGTCACAAATTCAGATCCCCACAGTTTCCCATGCACAAGGGGAGCGTGAGGCCAAACCCTGTGCTGTCCGCAGTCGGCACGAGTGGTTCCTGGCCAGACTCCCGGACCCCGCCTTCCCCAGTAAATTCCCGAGCACAGAACCAGGAGTAACTCCTGACCATTGCCAGGTGTGGCCCCAGAAGCAAAACAATGGGGGGAGGTATTTGGGGTTTGGGACCACACCTGAAGATACTCCGGGCTTAGTTCCGGCTCTGCACTCAGGAATTACTCCTGGTGGAACTGGGGGAGGGGGGCATATGGGATGCCAGGGATCGAACCTGGGTTGGCTGTGTGCAAGGTTAGCTAGCACTCTCTCCCCACTGCACTATTGCTCCAGCCCCAGGAAATAAAAATGTTATAAAGAGGCAAAGGCAGGGGGCTCGAGCGATGAGGAATTGGGGAGGGCGTTTGCCTTGCACACAGCTGACCCAGGTTCATTCCCTGGCATCCCAAAGCATGCGCCCGAACAGAGCCGGGAGTAGCTGCTGGGTGTGACCCCATGACAGACAAAAGCAGAGTTTGGGTGTTGCCACTGTCACAGGAAAGCCCGCAGCCCAGTCTCCGCCCCCACCCCTGGCTGGCAGCGTGGGGCAGTGTCCGTGGGTTCAGATCTTGCTGGCTGTCCATGTGAGGACATCTGCTTTCTTGGGGTGGGTGGGGGGAGAATGGATCAGCGGGTTGGAGCAGGCAGTTCTTACTTTGATTTTTGGGCCACACCCAGTGGTGCTGAGGGATCCCTCCTGGCGGAGCTCAGGGAACCCCATAAGGTATCAGGGATCGAACCCAGGTCGGCATGTGCAAGACAAAAACCTCCTAGCTGTACAGTTGCTTCCCAGAAGCCCGTATTCTTTGCATGTGAGGTGTGATTCCCTTATGTCCCTATTTATTTTTTTGTTTATTTTTATAAGTGTTTTTATTGTGGTATTTGGGCCACACCTGTTGGTGCTCAGGACTGACCTCTGGCCCTGCACTCCGGGATCAACTCCTGGCAGGCTCAGGGGACCCTGTGGGGTGCTGGGAATCAAGCCCAGGTTGGCCACATGCCAAGCAAAGGCTCTACCCACTTTATTTATTATTACTCAGGCCCACAGGTGAACAGTGCTTTACTGAGGCTATGCCCCTCCCTTCACGCCCCTAGGGGCTATGTCCTATTTTAGACTTTTGGTTCAGTCTTGAGGTCAATCCCGGAAAGACCCCAGGATCACCCCTGGCGGGGCTCAAGGGCTCCATCCCACATGGGCTGTATGCAAGGTAAGCGCCTTCCTGACGTGCTGTCCCGTATCTTCTGCGGTGCACGCTTGGTCTGGCAAATACCCAGGGAAGCCCGACCATACACCCAGCAAGGCTCTTGCCTTCATGCAGCTGACCACTCCTGCCCATGGCTTTTTTTTTTTCTTCTTTTTGGGTCACACCGGGCGATGCTCAGGGGTTACTCCTGGCTCTGCACTCAGGAATTACCCCTGGTGGTGCTCGGGACCATATGGGATGCTGGGAATCAAACCCAGGTCAACTGCATGCAAGGAAAACACCCTACCTGCTGTGCTGTCGCTCCAGCCCCTCCGTGGCTTTCTGAGCCCAGCCAGCGGGGAGGGCGTTTGCGTTGCACGCTGCTGACCCAGGTTCCGTCCCCAGCACTCTCCGTGCCCTGCTAGGAGTCAGCCCTGAGCACTGCTGGGCGTGGCACAAAAACAAGCAAAAACCCAAGTATTTCCCCGAGCACTGCAGGGTTGTAATGAAATGAAGCGAGGCTTGGCTGGAGGGCCACACCTGGCAGGGCTGCTCTCCTGCATTGCTCAGGGTGTGACACATGGCTCAACCTCTGGAAACAGCCTCCCACAGGCATCCACCTGCACCCCAGCAGTCCCCCTCAGAACCTGCTGGGATGGCCCTTCATCAGGCCCTACCCTGTCAGCACCAAGGACAGAGACGATCACTTCCTGGAGCAATGCGTTCAGTGCCTGGGGGGTGCAGGCGGGCCCCGCCCTTCTAAGAACACCCACAACTCCGCCTTCACACAGGCGTGCAGGCACGCGTGCTCACAGCGCTTAGGAGGGGTGCAGGGCTGACTCCTGGCTCTGTGCGCAGGCATCACTCTTAGAGAGACTCAGACCCGATGGAATGCCCAGAATCGAACTGTTTGGCCCACGTGCCAGGCAAACGCCCGTCCCTGCTGTGCCATCGCCCTGCACCCACCTCAGGGCTTGTTCTCCTTGGATTCCTAGTAACGCTAAGGTTGGCAGGTTGGAACTGCCCAACTCTCCTGGTGGGACAGCTGATGCATGCCCATGTCCCATCACACATACTAGAACATTACGCACCCTTGAGGAGGAAAGACCGGGGGCAGGGAGAGTTTGAACCAGGAGTCCCAGAGTCAATCTCAGCTCCCAGCCCAAATCGCGCTGCCACCCACAGTGAGTCCAAGTGTTGCCAAGAGTGGGGGAGGGGCGGAAAGGACGGGAGGCTGGAGAAATGGTCACCCCGACCATTTCTGGGCCTCGGCATGTGAAGCCTGTCTGTCTGTCTGTCTCATTGCACATTGGCTTTCTGCTGCCCTCTGTCGGCCAGGCCGAGTATGGGGCTCCTCCAAGCTGGACCGGGACCGAGGTTTCCAGAGCACCCAGCAGGGGGCAGCATTGACCCATAAGAGCCACAGCCAGAGCTATTGGCTTCCTCGCAGCTGGGGAGTCGGGTGGCGACGCCCCCTCAAGGAATCTCACGCCCCAACCACCCTCACCCTCTGGCCTAGCCTCCATTCTGTCCTCAAATTCCTGGACCTGAGTTCGAGGCGATGCTTTTTTTTAATTTTGGGGGGAGGGGGATCACATCCAGGGATGCTCAGGAATTACTCCTGGCTCCGAAAACCACATGGGATGCTGTGGGTAGAACCTGGGTGGTTTGCGTGCACTGCAAGCACTCCACCCGCTGTTCTATCACTCCGGTCCCCTCAAGGCAGTTTTCTTTTTTTTTTTACGCATTTATTTTGCTTTTTGGGTCACACCCAGTGATGCTCAGGGGTTGCTCCTGGCTCTGCACTCAGAAATTATTTCTGGGGCTGGAGCGATAGCACAGCAGGTAGGGCATTTGCCTTGCACGCGGCCAACCCGGGTTCGATTCCCAGAATCCCATATGGTCCCCTCAGCACCACCAGGAGTAATTCCTGAGTGCATGAGCCAGGAGTAACCTCTGTGCATTGCCAGGTGTGACCCAAAAAGAAAAAAAAATTATTTCTGTCAGCGCTTGGGCGACCATATGGGATGCCGGGGATTGAATCTGGGTCGGCTGCTTGCAAGGCAAAAAGCCGTACGGGCTCTGCTATCACTCCAGCCCCTCAAGGCAGTTTTCTTAACAACTGCCCCAGATCTTCCTGCTAAACCTCCAGCCCTTGAAGAGACGCTGGGTTGCTGCCAACTTGCTCTTCGCTTTTTTTGTCTTTCATTACACTCTCTAGCTGTGCCTGCTGCAGGCACATAATTAGTTAATCACTGTCTCACTGTCATCCTGTTGTTCATCGATTTACTTGAGCAGGCACCAGTAATGTCTCCATTCATCCCAGCCCTGAGATTTTAGCAGCCTTTCCTTACTCGACTTTCCCAACTCTGCCATATTGGAGGCTCTTTCAGGGTCAGCGGAATGAGACCCATTATTGTTACTGTTTTTGGCATATCGAATACGCCATGGGTAGCTTGTCAGGCTCTGCCGTGTGGGCGGGATACTCTCGGTAGTTTGCTGGGCTCTCAGAGAGGCATATATAATATATATAGTTGTAGGGCTGGAGCGATAGCACAGGGGTAGGGCGTTTGCCTTGCACAAGGCCCACATGGCCGACCTGAGTTCGATTCCTCCGCCCCTCTCAGAGAGCCCAGCAAGCTACCGAGAGTATCTCGCCCACACGGCAAAGCCTGGCAAGCTCCCCGTGACGTATTCGATATGCCAAACACAGTAACAACAAGTCTCACGATGGAGACGTTACTGGGCCCGCTTGAGCAAATCGATGATCAACGGGAGGACTGTGACTGTGACCATAAATATTTGTATCTATACAATTACAATCGTAATTACGGTACAGGGGTCAAGGCGCTGGTATCGCACTGGGCCAACTTGGGTCCCATCTCCAGGATCCCACAGGGTCCCCCAAGCCCTGTCAGGAGTGATCACGGAGCATGGCCCGCAAATTGAAAAATAGATGCGTTTTAAGATGTTTCCTAGGGTCTTTTTTGTCTTTGTTTTGTTTTGAGACCATACCTGGTGATGTTTAGGGGTTACTCCTGGCTTTGCTCTCAGGAATTACTCCTGCCCGGCTTGGGGGACCACCTCTAGGTGACCTCAGAATAGACCCAGGTTGGCTGTGCATGCTGGAGGCAAGTCTTGTGTTATCTCTCCAGCCCCAAGGTCATTCACGTACATGTTGTTGAAGAGGGTTCCTTTTTAAAATCTTGATCATGTGCTAGCATCAAAGTAAGGAGACACACATCACCCCCAGTGTGCCCCACAGAGAGGGTTAGGCATCCCTGCCTCGGCCCCTCCCCCCACCCCCCCTCCTCATGAGATTCTGCATTCTTGGGGTTGGGTCAGACATGGGAGCAGGTCCTTGGAGGCCCCCTGCATTCACCCTTAGAAACGCCTCCTCCCCAGGAACCAGAATCACAGCTGGGGGTGACGCCAGGCCGCGGGCAGCGGGCAGGAAGGGAGTGGACCCAGCAAGCCTGAACTTTGGCTGAGGGCCAGCCCCAGAGGGAAGGAGCTGTGTTTGCAGTTCTGAGGAATTTCTCCCTCTTTATCAGCCGCTCCAGGGCAGCTGTGATCAGAGAGCCCCACCCAGCCAGGTCACCGGGCTCTAGACTCTGGGCTCTGGCTGGGAGAAGTGAGGACAGAAAATGGCATTGAACAAATGTCCCCAGGTGACACTTGTCACAAATCACGAGGAACTGCCTGGAGGCTTAGGATAGAAGGATGGGGCTAGAGAGAATAGCAGGTAGGCCTTGTACACCGTGCTGGTCACTGACCTGGCTTGGATCCCCAGCCCCCCATAGGGTACCTTGAGCCCCGCCAGGAGTTGATCCCTCAGCATAGAGGTAGGGGTCAGCCCTGAGCACTGCCAGGTGTGGCCCCTAAACAAACACAAGAATAGAAAAGGATGTTAGGCATTTCCAGGGAGAGAGCTCCGGCTGGAGGTCGCGCTTTGCATGCGAGAGAGCCCCAAGTTGGATCCCCAGAACCGTTGGGAGCACACCCCAAGCACAGAGCTGGGAGGACCTCCAGAGCATGACTGAGAGTGACCCCAAAATTAAAGACAAAAAACAAAACAGGACGGGCCAAAAGGATAGGACTACAGTGACTGCAGTGAGGGCGTTTGTGGACCAAGGTTAAGAGTCCCCACATCCCATAAAGTCCCCTGAGCACCACGAGGAGTGAGTCCTGAGTATTGCTGGGTGTGGCCCAAAATCCAAAAACGAAAACAAACTGAAACAAGGAAAAACTCTGCAGGAAAGGACTGGAGAGGTAATACCAGGGGACAGGTGCTTGCCTTATAAACAGTTGACCCAACTTCAATGCGCAGCACTGCACAGGGTCCCCTGAGCCCAACCAGGAATGATCGCTGAAACAGAGCCAGGACTTGCACTGCCGGGTGTGGAGTCAACCCAACCACAAATAAAGGACTGACCAAGGCTGTGTGTGTGTGTGTGGGGGGGGGGGGGGGGGGGCGGGCAGCAAACAGGGTTCTACGGAAGTCAGTGATGCTTGTTGGCTTCTCCTGCAAAGAAAGAGACAAAAGATTCCTGAAGCTCCTTTGCTCCCCACAAGGTCAGTGGGACGGAATTCCATTGTCCTGGGGCTTGAAGTCCCGTGGAGCTGCTTCCTCTTCATTTTGCAGGCAGACACAGTACCTCTGCCCCTCCAGGAGGCCTCCTGCAGCTCGGAAGGGGGCTGGGGCTGGACTCTGGCAGCTGGTCTTTTGTTTCTTGGGTCGTCAGTGCTCAGGGCTTGCTCCCGGTTCTGCACTCAAGGATCACTCCTGGCAGGGCTACTGGGTGCCGGATATCAAACTGGGGTTGCCCCGTGGAAGGCAAGTTCCTCCACCGAAGGGCACACTGGCAATGCTTAAGGGGTTATTTCAGCCTCCCCGTGACCCGACCTCTTTTTGTTGTTTTTGGGCCACACCTGGCAATGCCCAGAGGTTATACTCTTGGTTCTGCACCCAGGAATTACTCCTGGCGGTGCTCAGGGGACCCTATGGGATGTAGAGGATCGAACCCGTGTCCGCCGCGTGAAAGGCAAGCATTCTCCCCCCGCAGTGGCCCTTCCGCTCGCCTTCTGTGGCAGTTTGGCCCCGCCCCCTCATGGGTTAGGCACCGCCCCCTTGCCCGTAGCCACGCCCCCACCGGTCACAAGGGCGGGGAGCCTCCTTTCCCGGCTTCCGTAGTGCAAACCTATGTGGGCGGGGCGGTGACTCACGCGTGCGCACGTGCGCCCGGGCCGGCGCCCCGGAGGCGGCCGGCGTGTCGTGCGTGCGCGCCCCCGTGCCGCCGCCGTGCGTACGTGCGCGCGCCCGCCCCGGTTCTTATAGCGGAGTCCGCGGCTGGCGGCTCGTGGGAGCCATGGCGGCCGCGCTGCTGCTCGTCTTATCTGCGCTGCTGTGCGCGCGGGCCTGGGGTGCCGGTGAGGATTTTGGGGTCCCCGGGGGGGGCGGCCGTGGGGGGGACCTTCGAATGAGGCGGGGTGGGGGAGCGGGTGCGAAGGCCGGTCCCGGGCGGGGCGCCCGGAGGGGCTCGGCGGTCAGCGCCGCGTCTGGGAGGGGGCAGTGGACACCCGGGGTCCGGGACGACATGAGGTTTGGAGGGGGGATCGGGGGCGACCCCGCGGAAGCAGAGTGTGTGGGTGGGGCCCCGGGTGTGAGACCCGGCCTGGGCGGGGGCCGGGGGGTCTGGGGGGGGCGTCCATCTAGACGGATCTTGGGCGCGATGGCCCGATTTCGGGGGACTGCGATGGGGGGTTCGGCCGGGCTCCCGTGCTGAAGCCCAGATGTGCCGTGCAGGCTGTGGCGGGGGGGTGTAGGGGAGGGTGGTCCTGCCAGCACCTCCCCCACCAGCCCCCCCACGCCTTCCCACTCCTGGGGACAGGGTCCCCCTTTTCCCTGTGGCCCTTGAGTGACCCCGTCGGAGCGTCCAAGCCGACCTGGGTTTTCCCTCCGACTGGGTGGGGTGCGTTAGGTGGAGGGGTCCAGCGGGGGATCCCCCCCCTTTACGGGACCCCCAGGCCCAGGAGCATGCGGCGGGGGGGGGGGGGGCAAGGGGACCCTCTAGCCCAGAGCGTGGACCTGGCGTGGATTGTCATTCTCCCCGGGATTTAGGGATTTGGGTGCTGGAGCCTTGGGCTCGGGGCTCGGGGTGGGGGGTCGCAGGCGGCGCGGGCTTCTTCCCGGGGGAGAGCCTTGTGGTGTGGCCAGGCCCCTGCCGCGGGGCCACCTGGACTTCGGTGTGTGTTCTCGCTCACCGGTGCCCACCACCACACCCTGCCCGGGGCCAGGAGCTGAGGCCTGGACGGAGGGGTAGGTTTCCAAGGTCACTGGGAGGTCGCGGTGCCCAGTGGGGCGCCGGGGGCCGGGTGGACCGGGTGGACTCTTGGTTTTTCAGCTCGGGAGGAGGGTGGCTTGCTGGGAGCTGCGAGCCGGACCCTGGGTCGTGCTTGGGCGGGGAGGGGAGGGGGGAACCGGCCGCTGGTGATTTGCCAGGAAGAGACAGCTTGGCCTCCGCGGGAGAAGTTTCTGGGTTAAAGATTGTTAGTGACCGGCAGGCCGGCAGCTGAGTGCATCCTGGGGGCTTTGCCCTTTCCAGGGGCCCCACCCTGTAATCAGATGCCCCCTGGGGGAGGGTCTTTGATTCCAGTTTAGCGGCCGGAAGCCACGCCCGTAGGAAATGCCTTGTTGGGGGGGCTGACCCAGGCTGGTCCCCCTACTCTCTGCACCCCACCCCCAGTGCCCTTTCCTTGGTATTAGTGACCTGGGAGGGGTCTGGTCTGCCCCCTGGGGTCTGGGGCAGAGCAAGAAGGAGCCTTACTCAGGTTGCTTTTGGGTTTGTGTATTTTGGGGGCACTCCTGGCTCTACTTGCTTAGGGCTTATTCCTGGCTCGGCTCAGGGAACAGTCCTGGCCCGGTTCCGGGGACTCTGGGGTGCTGGGGTTGGGGTCAGCTGCTTGCTAGGCAGGCGCCCTCCCCTCTGTCCTGAGGGCTTCGCTTTCCCTGTCTGAGCCTATCTGAGCCGCAGGGCTGGGCGTGAGCCCCAGGCCTGAGCCCCACCCCGCCCCCAGGGTGCAGGTTTGTGGATGAAGGTGACTTTTTACTGGCCCGCCTTTGCCTTGGGTTGGCAGCACTCATTTTTAGGACTCTCACGTCCTGCAAGCATTCCCACCCATCCACCCCGTCTGGCCCGACTTCCCGGGACTCCAAGAATATGGCACCCTGTCATTTCTGGGGCGCACCCGCCCTGAATCCGGGCTTTTTCCAACCCACTTCCGTGGCGGTTGCGCCCTTAGAGCCCCCCCCACTCCGTTTTTGGCGGCACCTCTGGTGCTGCTCAGGGCTGACTTGGCTCTGTGCTCAGGGATTCCTTCTGGCAGGACTCAGGGAACGAACCCAGATGGCTGATTGCAAGGCCCTTTAGCCTCTGCACCCTCTCTCTGCCCTGGGAGATTTCTTGGTAGGGGGGAGAGGGAGCCTGGAGTCTGGAAACACCCCCCACCCTGCCTTGGTCATCTCTTCTCTCCCTGTGTCTTTTTTTTGGTCACACCCGGTGATGCACAGGGGTTCCTCCTGGCTCATGCACTCAAGAATTACTCCTGGCTCTGCTCGGGGGGCCCCTATGGGATGCTGGGAATCGAACCCAGGTGGGCTGCGTGCAAGGCAAACGCCCTACCCGCTGTGCTGCCACTTCAGCCCTTCCGTGTGTCTCTTTTTTGAGGGGTGGGAGTAGCCTCACCTGTCAGGGCTTCTGGCTCTGGGTTGTGCTGGGCGACCCGATGCGGTGCCAGGGATTGAACCCGGGTTGGCCGCTTGCACCCCTGTGACATTTCCATATCACCGCTGTCACATCCTCGGAGGGACTGGCCTTTCTCTTGTTTCCTAGGAGGTTGGGGGGTTGTCTGTTAATGTCTGAGGCACACCCCCCCCCTCCCCCGGGGCCCTGAAGTCGGTCCCAGATACGGGGTACCTTATCCACCACCCCCCTTCTCGGCGTCCCGTTCCAAGTCGTTGTGCAATGGGGAAGAACACTGGGCTCCTGAGAAATGGGGGTGAGTAGGGGCAGGGTGAGGACGCGCCAGGGCCCGCCTGGCCCCGGGCCTGGGAGTTGCCTCTGGCCTGGTCCCACAGACCAGGCTACAGGCTGTCCCGCCTTTATTTATTCGTTTGGTCTTGGGGCCACACCTGGCAGTGTTCGGATTTGACTCCCAGCACCTCTAGTCGGGATTCTGGGGACCCCGCGGGTCGCCAGAGAACAGCCTGTTTTGACTTCGTGCACAGCCAGCGCCCTCCCTGTCCTCTGCTCTCCAGCCCTGAGATGTGGCCAGGCTGATGGCTTCAGGGGGTGACTGGCCCGAGTTCCATCCCCGGGTGGCCCCAGGAGTGACCCCCAAATGAAAAATAGAGCCAGAGAGCTAGTGCAGAGCATGAAGGCACCTGCGCGCACGTGGTGGAACCCCAAAGGGGCCTTGAGGGGAAGGGGGTGATGCCTGGGAGACCTACGTCTGGGTCACCACCTGCAGGTCATTCTAGAAAATGGGCCCACGGTGTCCAAGGGGTTCCGGCATCCGAGGCGGCGCTGGCAGTGTGCTGGGTTTCTGGGCACACCAGAGCTGGGCAGCCCAAGGGGGGCGTGGGGTGACCGACCCACTTCTCAAACCGGGTGTGGCCCCTTTCCGCTTTTCTTCTGCTCTTTAGAGGGTCCACACCCTGCCCTCAGCAGTAACGACCCAAAGAAGGCCGGAGTTATGGGCGGGGAGGGGGGTGTTTTTCTTGCACGAGGCCGACCCGGGTTTGATCCCTGGCATCCCATATGGTCCCCTGAGCATCGCCGGGTGACCCAAAAAGCAAAATAAAAAAAGAACAAAGAAAAGAAAAACAAAGTTGGGGTGAACCAAGGGTTGGCGGCAACCTTGAGGGGTGCTGGCCATGCGTGCAGACCATCTGGGTTCCGTCCCCTGCACCCCATAGGGTGCCTCCAGCCCCCTCAGGAGGGACAGAAAGTGACAAACCCAAAGTTGGGATGAGCCAAAGGTCGGTGCATGGTTGGGGCTGTGTCCAAGGGGTCCCGGCATCGTAGGCGGCACTGCCAGCCACAACTAGAGCATCTAGAATGTTCTAGAGAGGGACTGGAGCAATAGCACAGCGGGAAGGGCGTTTGCCTTGCACGCGGCAGACCCAGGTTCGATTCCCAGCATCCCATATGGTCCCCCGAGCACCGCTAGGAGTAATTCCTGAGTGCATCGCCTGGTGTGACCCAAAAAGCAAAAATAAATAAAAGCGGCCCCTGTTCCCCTTGGGAGGTGTGTGTCTGTGTGTCTGTCTCTCTGTCTCTCTGTCTCTGTCTCTGTCTGTCTGAGACCTGGCCACTACCTCTCTTGGCGGGAGGCCTGCTGGCTGGCCCAGCCACTTAGGGGACCTCCGTCAGCCCACCCTGCCCCTCCCGGCTTTGCTATGGGGCAGCTGGAATCATTGGGAGAGGGGTACTGTGGCCGGGTGGGGTTGGTGGGGGGCTTTGGTTTGGGGTGAGGGGAGTGCGTTGGCGAGGGTCCCTGACGGCCGTGTGCCGTGGCCGCGCAGGGTCCGTGTGGACCTCCAAGCAGGAGGTGGACTCCCGCGTCCACCTCACCTGCCGGCTGAACGACAGCAACGTGGAGATCACAGGCCACCGCTGGATGCGAGGCAACAAGGTGCTGCTGGAGGACAGCCAGCCGGGGCTGAAGATGGATTACTAGTGAGTGGGGTGGGGGGTCCCATGGGGCGCCTCCCAGCCACCCGGCCCGCCCTGCTCTGAGCAGACCCCACCCCTCCCATATCTCGCAGCATGAGCCCCGATGATCACTCTGGCACCTATTCCTGCATCTTTCTCCCGGAGACCGCGGGCCGGGGTGAAATCAAGGTGTCGGGTGAGCAAGGGGGGGACCGCCCCGCCCCGCCCCTCACGCACATCCCCATGGGGGAGGGCTGGACGCAGGGATCTGGGGACCCGGCCCGGATCGGACTTGGGGTTCCAGGCGCCTGCCTTCTCGCTCGGTTGCCCTGAAGGAAACCCCAAGGTGAAGGCCACGAAGAAGATGGAGAACGGGGATGAGGGGGGAGAGCGTGGTGCTGAGCTGCACGGCCGAGTCCGACCCCCCTGTGGTGGCCTGGAGGTGGTTCCGCGTGAATGAGTCTGGGGAGCAGGTGAGGCCACGCCCAGCGATCGCCCCGCCCCATGTGACCACGCCCATTCCCTCCTGACCACGCCCACTCCAGGCCACGCCCCTGGTGGTGCTCTATTAACCAGGCAGCCCTTCTGGCCATCCTCCCGCATAACCCTGGCTCCGTGTACCCCACCCCCGGTCCTTCCCCACCCCCGACAGCAACTTATCGACAACCACACGCACGCCGACAAGTACTTCGTGGTGTCCGGGGAGTCGTATTCCAAGCTGCACGTGCAGAACCTGCACGTGGAGGAGGACCCGGGCAAGTACTCCTGCGAAGCCCAGAACGACCTCGGCCGGGACTCGGAGGTGATCGTGCTACGCGTGCGCAAGCACCTGGCCGCCCTCTGGCCCTTCCTGGGCATCGTGGCCGAGGTGCTCGTGCTGGTCACCATCATCTTCATCTACGAGAAGCGCCAGAAGAAGGGCGAGAACCTGGACGGTGAGACTCGACCTGGGCGCGCTCACCTGGGGGCCTGGAGGCTGGGGCTGGGGTCAGGGGGCGCCTCCCCCACCTTCCCCGCTTCTGGGGGGGAGGAGGGGGCACACTTAAGGCGAAGCCTTGGAAGCTCGGGTGGCCGCCGGCGGTGACCTGTCCCCTCTCTTGCATGTGGCTGCGCCTCGGACAGATGAAGACACGGGCTCCCAGCCACTGTGAGTCCCGGTGTGCTGGGGGAGGGGGGATCTGTGCTCTGCTTCGGTACCCCCAAGTGCTGACAGCCCCCTCTGCCCCCCAGGAAAAGCACGCCGCACATGAACGACCAGGGCAAAGAGCTTGGCGTTCGCCAGAGGAATGCCACCTGAGCCAGGCAAGGCAGGTGGGGGGTGGGGACCCAGGGGTTGGGGGGGTGGGAGTTGGGGCCTACCTCTGATCTTTTCCCCATCCTTCTGCAGGCCAGTGGAAAAGCCTCAGGGGCTGGGGGACCTGCGTGCCCAGCTCCACATCCAAGAAGCCCTCCCACCAGATGAATGACACCTGGGGGTTCCGCCCCCCCCCCCCCCCCCGCCCCGTCCCCCTCCACCCACGACTAAACTAGGGTTTTCTATGAGGAATTCCACCCCTTCGGGTACTGTCTGCCACATTTCACGAGCCCCCACTCCACCGAGACCTCGGGAGCACCTCAGCTGCCCCTTGTCCGCCCCACCCCCTCCCCCTGCCCTTTCGGTCCTGTGCCCACGGAGGTGTGGCGGGCGCCCCATCACTGCCTGAGTGGACATGCGTGTGTCCTGTTGTGAGTGCTCGGGTGGCCGCGGCCGAGAGGGTCACCCTGGCTGCCGGGTGGTGGGACAGCTGGCCCCGAGCAGCCCCCCCACTCCCCACCCCCCTGTGGCTGCAGGTCTGGGGAGCTGCCTAGAGCTCCTCTCCAGCCTCTTCCTTCACAACCAATAAACTCGGACGTCTTGTCCTCTACTCCTCTCTGCCCGGGCGTGCTCTTTCCTTTGGGGGGGGGGGTGCGTGTGGCAGGGGCAGCCAGCGTCCGTGGTTTGGCAGGGGTCTGGGGGACTTGAGGTGCCAGGACCTTGTTCTGAGCCACCGCCGTGAGGGAGAGAGGCAGGTAGTGACGGTGGGGCTGAGGGCCAGGACTTGGGGGAAGCGGTTAGGTATCCCAAAGAAGCCAGATCATACCCGCAGAACCCACATCAGGGGTGGCGCTGCCTTCCGGTTTTAGGGGCCTCTGAGAGGAGTCCTGCCAGAAAGATGTTGGCCTTGCATGCAGCCCACCAGGAGGCGCTCCTGAGCACAGAGCCTGGAATAACACCCCCCACACTGCCGGGTGTGGCCAGGTCCCCCTCATAGGAGGCGCCTTCCAGGCCCCAGAGACAGCCCGGCAGGGCACAAGTTGATCTCCACCCACCCCACTGCCACCCTGTGTGACTCCAAAGTCAGGATCCTGCAGGCTGCTTGCTGTCTGGGAGTCCCTGAAGTCTGGCAGGGCTTCGTGGAGGAGGTGGCCCCTCGGACCCCAGAAGAACCCTCAGCCAAGCCAGCAGCCCAGCAGCAGTCAAGGGAGGACGCTGATGGCCAACTTGCTGACCACCCAGTCCTGCCTCTCCTGCCCCACAGAGCTGGACAGCCGAGTCCTGCCTCTTCTCCACACGCGGACCTGCTGGGGCTGGGTCATGGGGAGTCCAGGGTCTGCCCATCACTGCAGCAGCCCAAAATTGGGGCTGGTATGTGAAATCTGTGGCTTTCTATGTCCACACAAAACAGTTAACGGTGCCAGAGCCATAGTACTGCAGGGAGGGTGTCTAAGTGCATGGAGCCGAGCTGGGTTCAATCTCCAGCATTCCATGCAGTTCCTCAAACACCGCCCAGAGTTTTTTGGTTTTGCTCTTTGGGTCACTCCCAGCAACGCCCAGAGGTTACTTCTGTCTCATGCACTCAGAAATTACTCCTGGCGGTGCTCGGGGGACCATATGGGATGCTGGGAATCAAACCGGGTCGGCCGCATGCATGGCAAATGCCCTATCAGCTGTGCTATCACTGCAGCCCCCCAGGAGTCATTCTTGAATGCGGAGCCAGGAGTAACTCCTGCATACCGCCAGGTGTGGCCCAAAACAAAATAAAGAGGGCGTTCAGGTTAGAGCCCCAGCTTCGTATATATCCTCAAGCACCGCAGGACCACATTGGCCCCCAAAGCAAAAAAAAATTAATATTGCCACAAGAAGGCACACCCCCAACATTTAGCGTGAGATGGAGTGACCAATGCTTGGGGTGAGGCTGACCAGCCAGTAACCACCCCCACATGTATAAGGTCAAAGGGCAGGAGAACGCAGGCTTCGCCCCGCAGCTGGGAGAATCCGGGATCACCCACACACGCGGACGAACACGCACCTGCACGCAGACCCCCGAGCGCCCAGAGACAACACTGCTTCTTGCCCTGGAATCAATTGGGGCAGTCAAGGTCCGTCCCTTCTGCCAGTCACCACCAGGGGGTGCTGTGCACACACCACGGGCCGGAAGCAGCGCCTCATCTGTCATCTGCAGAGCAGGGAGGGGTCCCCACCGCTCACCTGGAACCCTGGGGTCTCGAAGCACTATCCCCGTTCTCTTACGTCTGTAGATGGGTGATTGTGATTTTGAGCCGACCTGAGTTGGGGACCGACCGGCAGGACAGGCCAGAGAGCATCAGCAACCCAGAACCTAGAGTAGACAGAAGATTTAGGGCTCAGCCCACTGCCCCTTTCTTGGGGGCACCCAGCGAGGGGATCCCAGAAGCACACAAGAGGGGACACTTGGGGTGAATAGGAGGGACCCCCAGCACCCCCGGGACGTACCTGCCTTTACAGGCAGACTTGGGCCCCAGCCAAAGATGTGGTTGTTCAGAGAGAGAGAGAGAGAGAGAGAGAGAGCAGGAGAGAGCTGGCCTTGCATGCAGCTGTCACCAATTCCATCCCCAGCTCCGATTAGGGCCCCCTGAGCATCTCCCGGGGTCACTCCTGAACAGAGTCAAGAACAGCCTCTGAGTGCTGTAGCATTAGCACGGCGGGGAGGGCATTTGTCTTTCATGTGGCTGACCCAGGTTCGATTCCCGGCATCCCATAAGCCAAGCCCTGCCAGGAGTGATTCCTGAATGCAGAGCCAGGAGGAACCCCTAAGCACCGTTGGACCGTTGGTGTGCCCCACACCACCTCACCCCCCCAAAAAGAAAGAAAGAATACTCTTCAAGCCTGCATTTTTCCTTGAATACAAATTTTGCTTGCTTGTCTCCTTTTTTTTTTTCTTTTTGGGTCACACCCGGCGATGCTCAGGGGTTACTCCTGGCTCATGCACTCAGGAATTACTCCTGGCGGTGCTTGGGGGACCAGATGGGATGCTGGGAATCGAACCTGGGTCGGCCATGTTGGCTGCGTGCAAGACAAACGCCCTACCCGCTGTGCTATCGCTCCAGCCCCTGTCTCCTATTTCTTTGCTTGCTTTCCATTCTGGAGAAGGATGTACTTTTTTTTTTTCTTTTTCGGTCACACCCAGCGATGCACAGGGGTTACTCCTGGCTCTGCACTCAGGAGTTACTCCTGGCAGTGCTCAGGGGACCATATGGGATGCTGGGACTCGAACCTGGGTCAGCTGCGTGCAAGGCAAACGCCCTACCCGCTGTGCTGTCTCTCCAGGCTGTGCTTTCTTGAACACATCTTTCTTTCTCTGCCCCTCACTTTATTTATTTATTTATTTATTTATTTTGAGGTAAGGGCACCCCCAGCAGTGCTCAGGGCTTACTCCTGGTTCTGCACTCTGGGGACTTTATGAGGTGCCAGGAATCAAACCTGGGTCTGCCACATGCAAGGCAAGGATGCAACTCCCACCATACTATCTCTCAGCCCCTTCTCTCTTCACTTCTTCTCTTTAGGACATGTCCCCTTCCTAAGCACTCTGACCCCCAGCCCCCAAACGGGAGCCCAAGAAACACACACCTAACCCAAATCCCAGTCTCAGGGCCAGAGTGCTTCCCTTCCCTTCTTGCACTTGACCAACTGGAGTTTGAGCCTCAGTACCCCGTATGGTTCCCTGAGCACTTCCAGGAGTAATTCCCGAGTGCAGAGCCAGAAGTAAGCCCTGAGCATCGCCAGGAGTGGCCCCCAAACTAAAACCAAACCAAACCAAGCAACAGCAGCAACAACAAAAAAATAAATAAATAAAGCCTCATCTCCCACCTGAGATGTCATGATTCAAAGAGCACCCCAAGGGGCTGGAGTGATAGCACAGCAGGTAGGGTGTTTGCCTTGCACGCGGCCGACTCGGGTTCGATTCCCAGCATCCCATATGGTCCCCCGAGCACCACCAGGAGTTTTTCCTGAGTGAAGAGCCAGGAGTAACCCCTGTGCATTGCCGGGTGTGACCCAAAAAGCAAAAAAAATAGAGCACCCCAAATTTCAGTGGGGGTCCCTAATGTCTCATAGTGGTTGGAAGCCCCATGGGGTAGCAGAGGGCAGGTTTTAATGCTCTTCTCACTTCAGAGAACCCCAGGTGAGAGCACTGAGCTATGGAAGGACGTTCAGTGGAATTGGCAAGGTGGGGTGCTGTGTGGATCTGGGGCAGGGGTGTCCTGTTTCCGGTCACTGGTCACCCAGGGCCTTGCCAGGCATGAGGGCATCTGCCTGTACAGCTGTGAGACCCAGGGCATAGATAGCACCCACTTCTCTAAGATAGCACCCCACACATAAGGCTGATTTCACATTCATATTCATTTTTCCTTTCTCACTTTTTTGGTCATACCCGGCAGTGCTCAGGGCTTATTCCTGGAAGCGTTGTGGAATGCCGGGTTCAAACCTGGGTTGACTGCATGCCAGGCAAGTGCCCTATTGGCTGTACTATCACGCCAGCTCTTCTATTTCTTTGATTTATTGTTTTATTTTATTATTTATTTATTTTTGGGGGGCTTTTTGGATCACACCCGACGATGTACAAGTGTGTGCATCTTGTGTACAGGAGTAACTGTTACTCTTGGCTCATGCACTCAGGAATTACTTCTGGCGGTGCTCGGGGGACCATATGGGATGCTGGGAATTGAACCCGGGTCAGCCGCGTGCAAGGCAAATGCCCTACCCGCTGTGCTCGCTGTGCTATCGCTCCAGCCCCTGTTTTGTTTATTTTTTATTTGGTGGCCACACCCTGGCTCAGGAATTACTCCTGGCAGTAATCCTGACATCCTGTGGGATGCCAGGGATTGAACCTGGGTCAGCCATATGCAAGACACCCTACCTGCTGTATTATAACTCCAGCCCAGGATTTTTTTTTTTTTTGCTTTGGTGGAGGGACAGTTGGACCGCACCCAGCATTGCTCAAGGCTTAGTCCTAGCTCTGAGCTCAGGGATCACTTCTGGCCGGGTGCGGGGGGCGGGTGGGAGGCCAGGGGTAAGGAGGGAGGCCCTATGGGGTACCAGGGATCAAACTCAGGCCAATCATATGCAAGGCATATCAAGCCTTGCTTCCATCTCCTCCTCTGACAGGCCAACTGCCATCCTCACCTCCATCCTGGCCCTGTGTGTTTGGCAATAATGAAATAATTTCTCCTAAACACCCCACAGTATAGGGGGGACCCGCAAAGCTCCCTTCTAAGTCTCAACTCCAGATTCAATTCTCGATTTTTTTTTTTTTTTGCTTTTGAGTCACACCTGGCAATGCACAGGGGTTATTCCTGGCTCTGCACTCAGAAATTACTCCTCCTGGCAGTGCTCAGGGGACCATATGGGATGCTGGGAATCGAACTCAGGTTGGCCACGTGCAAGGCAAATGCCCTACCCGCTGTGCTATCTCTCCAGCCCCCATCAATTCTTGATTTTTTTTGCTTTTGTTTGAGCCTGGTGTTTCTCAGGGCTCCTGGCTTTCGGCTCAGGTAGCACTCCTGCTGAGGCTCGGGGGACCCTAAGGGGTGCTGGGGCTCGAACCTGGATTGGCCACATCCAAGGCAAGTACCCCCTG